GTCATGATGAAAAATTATTTATCAGGTTAGACAACAACTGATGTGCACGATAACATTGATAAATTCTGTTACTCGTATAAAAGCATGTTTATGTGATTTTCTGCATTTCATTCTTCTAGTAGCTGACGACAAAAATGAATTTGCCTAATCGAATACTACTTATTTATTCTGTAATTCAGTTTGTGAAATCTGATCCAATAAATCGTAATATAATAATTGATGGTAATTTTGATGACTGGGTAGATGTTCGATCATATACTGACCCAGTGGATAATATTGATGGTACAGTTTATCAAACAAGTCCATGGTTTCCTTCAATAAAAATTCCAGATTGTCATGATACAATTACTAGAATATCAACTGATATACCAAAACATATTTATAATCCAAATGTGAATATAATTGAATTTAAAATAGCTCATGATGATACATCATTATATATATATTATCGTGTCGTTGATGATGGAATCATTGGTAACACTTCAGTTGGACCGGGTCGATTTGATCCAAGTGATCCATCAAAACCGTCAGCTGGAAGGTATTATGTAGTAACAACCATTAATCTTGATATGAATGACACGACAGGTTATTGGTTAAATGGAGGTGGTTATTATCCAACTGCACCTGGGTTTGATGCAAATTTTGAAATTGAATTCTATAATGGTTCATATAATCAAGGTTATTATCTTGATCATGCTGCTAATAATACTAATGAGACAAGATATATAAGAGAAGAGAATATACAAAATAATTTTCCATTTGGTCCTGCCTATTATGATTATTACACTGAATATGTTTATTGGAAAGAAAAGCCAACTTCAGATGAAATCAAAAGATGTTTAGATGGACCATATGAGTTACCTACTCCATATGATAATCATTACATTTGTTTTTCTAAAGATTGTGCACCTGGACCATTCAATGGCATTGTAACTTATGCGAGGAGTAGTAAAGGTAACGAATTTGAAATGCGAGCTCCATTTTTAGGATTTTTAATAAACAAAGATACAGGCTTGCCAACTTTACAATTGGGAATGACAGTAAACATATCATTATCAGCAGAGACAACTGCAGAATATTCAACACCACAAAAATGGTGTTCGGATACAACAGCAATAATTCAATATACATTATCAGAAAGATAAACGATGATGCACAATATTTTTGAGATTCATAATGATAAGTTTTTTACTACTATCTTACTCTATTGTCTGTTTCTTGCTGTTCTATTGTGAAAAAACGTTTATTAATTGAAAAAAGATTCGTTAACAAATTGATTGATTTGATTCAAACAGAACTTGAGAGTGTGAGAATGAGTATTATATTAAGAAATAACTACGATCATGGTTCGATGTTACTCAAGGATCAATTCTCAGGTAGCTTTAGCAGTGCATTAAATTCATATATCCACATGGAAAGATAATTAGATAATATTATCCACCAATATTTAATATATAAACATAAAACAAAGCAGAAATTTCTTGAGGATAAGGGTAAGTACAGCAACTATAATGTTAACATTTCACCTCAGCAACGAGGATCATCATATGGTCTCGTTTGAATTCGACAGAGAGAATATGTCTATTATTGGTTGTCATGGTAGATCGTCTTCGCCTTTGTGTGTTTATAGGTAAAAATAATGACTGTTTGCTCAGTTGAGGGATGAAAAACAATTAGGTAGCTTTTGTGATTTTGTCTAGATGAATTGTTTGGGTTGTTTGAAAAGATAGGTCGATAATATTGTTTTATTTTGAAGCGTGCAATGTTAGTTAGTTGATATTTGTCATAAAAATTGTTATCTACAAAATAGAGAATTTTCTCGTGTGTGCAATGAAAATGTTGTTGTTAATTATGCTCTATGTTTATTTTTTTTATCATGAAACTATAAAGTTAATAATAAACTGGGATGTAATAATTTGAACAGTGTTTTTTATGAATTTTTTTGCTGTAGACGATGATGCACGAGGCAAGCATTTAATGAGATGATCATTTATTCGGTGCAGTTGGTACTTGGAGATTTTGCTTTCACTCTAGAAAGAGAAATACGATGATGTATTGTAAGAAGTGAAAAAGTCGAATGGAAATGTTGGTGAACATTGTCTGTTACCTTTATTTTTTAGTGTTAGCAATCTGAGATGTGGTCGTTTACGTATGAGTTCACGTTGAAAGTTTGAAGTAGTTCGATGTCCAACAATGAGTCTGACAGCTTCTATTTCAAGTTCTTTAAAGGCTTCACGAAATATTTCACACATGTCTTTTTTCATTGATATGAATCGATTTTCATAAGTATAATGTATGATAATGTTATCTAGTAATGTTTTTCCTTATGGGTGTGTTATCGATATTGATGTGGCTATTCTTATTGGTTATTGTGCTTCTTTATAGTCTTCATTGTCTAGTTTAGATTGTGCAATTTATGCTTTTAGGGTATGGGTGTGGGTGTAAATGTTCTATTCTACAGCACCCACACCCCGACCTATACTCACCGACGGTTGTATTTTTCTCAAATTTTGTCTCTCGTTTCCTACAGGTCGAGTTTTTGCGGAAAAAATGTTTTTTAGGAATATATGAGCAAAATTATTTGTTAACGACGTGAATTCGGAAAATTAAAATATGTGAATCTCGAGATAATGAGCTCTCTTAGATCTGATTTTTATATGTTGCATGGACATTAAGTTACTCTAGATACCCTAAAAAAATCAGCGCTATGAAGCTTTGTTCATAGGAGTTACTGGTAAAAAGCTACCTTTAGCGGCGTGACACAGTGTGACTACACAATCGAAATGGTGCTCTTGTAACCAACTAAAAAGTTCAAAATCGACTTCAGACGTTACAGATTATTACTCAGAGTTCCTAGATGATGATAAGACAAAAGTTTTCGCTTCTTCACTTTTTAGGGTCTCTAGAAAACGGTTTTTTCGAAAGAAACTTTTTTGAATCCAATCTTGCTGAAAATTTGGCCATAGATACAACTTGTGTCCTAGATCCTATCCTGAAGTTTTCAGATTTTTTTCTCATATGGTTAGTGTGATATTCGTTAATTACTTTTTAATTAATTAATTTTAATTAATAATCATGTGAAAGACCAAATATTTTCACATAAGCCTATACCAAAAGAATTTATCCAAAAAATTCACTCTTATAGAGAATCAATCTCAAATGAAAGGTGCAAATGTTCTATGCTGCCTGATTTTGCCCATATATAGTTCAACTCAGTTTTTAGCACTGATTTCAAATATTTTATCTAATTTGCACAATCACGTCCTTCTCTTACAAATAAATATATCTCAACGCAATAATTACACATTGTTCGTTAAGAAATTGAGAGATTATTAATTATAAAACTTGATGAAATATCTATATGTTCTATACAAGAGAAGTGAAGGTTAAGCTATTTCTATGATTTTATTCATAATTCATAGAAAACTTCAAATCAAATGCTTTATTTTGATAAAATATTAAATTTCAATTCATAAATAAAAGCTGTTATAATTATAATGTGAATTTTCATTTTATAAGGTTTAATTCAATGATATGAATGCGAAATTAAATTTTTTATTGAATAATCAAAAAAATTTGTTGATTCTATGCCTTTAGATATGATAAGAAGAATGAGAAAATGAAAAAGTATACAGTATAAACCGATGGTGTTTGAATGTATGAGGTGTTCATTGTCGAATATATCCAATCTTGATAAGCAGCCACACGAGTATAAACTCCTGAGAACTCTGGTTCCGCACATCCATAACCATAACTCGTTAGACCTACTAATATCCATTGATTCTTTGAAGAAAGCATCATCAAAGGACCACCTGAATCACCCTGACATGTATCTGCAACAACAAAAAGAAAATGATAAGTAACAAGAGATTGAAAGAGAATTACCTTTACTACCATCAGATACACCAGCACATAGTTGTAATCGTCGATCGTTGATTACTGAGCTGCAAGTAAATACTTGATAGGCTATTATTTGTAAGGTGACTTGTTGAAGAGTCATGGAAGATGAATCATTTCCAGCCATCCTACCCCATCCGACGGCTATGACCTATTTTATCAAAATTAGATGTCAGAAAACGAGAGAGAATCACTTACAGTTGTATTGGGTACTGGCCATTCACCATTCGCTAGTATTGATGAATGAACAGATGGTAAACAAAGTGTATGAATACTAGAATCCATCATGTTGAGTGGAAAAGATAATTCTATTAGAGCAATGTCATTCGTATAAGCTGAAGAATCATAATTTGGATGCACAACAATACGTGAAGGCTTTCAAGATTGACTACCTGTAAATCGAATATTTGATCCTGCATAAACAATAACATCTGATGGTTTGACTTTCTCCATACAATGGGCTGCAGTAATGATCCAAGAATCCGATAAAATGGATCCTCCACAAAAATAGCTAAATTCAATTAAAAGTGATACAGTCCAGCTCCAGGCAGTTGCCTCTGCTGTTTCTCCATTGATAATACGGTTAACTGTTGTTGAATTAGTCGAACATCCACAAGATGCATTTGAATTACATGTGTAAACAGCTTGAGCACTCGATTGCACAATACAAAGAAAAATTAGCATACAAAATAGTATCATTACTAATCGTTAGAACTAAAATAACCTTAGAATAAAATTCACATCAACTATCTGAATCTTTTTTTTTATATTCAATATTTTCTGTCTCTTCATTTATGCAACTTTCACAAGTAGCTGTGAGTAGGTAGATATTAAGTGCACTTTAAATACATAGAAGATAATAAAATTAACATTTTCTTAACAAGAATGTCACTCTTGTTTTTGCATTTTATATCTCAATTAACATTACTAGAAAAGGACAAGCAAGCATTGGATATTAACAAAAATTTGATCTAAAGAGGGTGTGGATGTGAAATGGTATGGCTGTAGACTAGGAGCAGTCAACACCAACATTCAGTTTCGAGCCCTGTGGTTCCAAAAAAATGGAACGAAGAACCGAACCGAGGACAGGATTTTTCGGTTTCTCTTACCCGGAACCGAAACCGAAATTTTTCTTGAGGGTGAGAGTTTCAAGATGTGTGGATGTTGCAAGACGCGCATTATATCAGCATCTTACTTCATTTATCCATGAAAATTTTTCGTAGCAATCCTGGTTTTCAAGAAAAAGCTCTGAATTCTCTACTAAGAAATAGTTAAAAAATGGTGAAGAAATAATCTGAAAAAAATTCTTATGAAAACAGATTAATTTCTTCTGTTTTGCTCAGTTGTTTATACAGGGCCATGCGCGAAAAAGAAAACGGTGAATGAACAGTCGCTACGCAGAACGCGACAAATGTAGGGTACTCTGTAGAGTTTTCCTCAGTAAAATTACAGATGTGAGTATCCATACCAGCACTTGCTCAGTGAGCGTACTTTTATGGGTACCCCTTGCAATACCCACATCAGTATAATTACTACGAATTTTCGAAGTACCCATATTACGTACCCTGCTAAGGCTTTCTCAGTACATGGGTACCCTAAACTCACGACAGAACATTCCCAACTGTCAAATCGCTTTTGAGTCGAGTGTATGTGCATCATGTAGACCCCAATGATCTCTGAATACTCTGAAAAAAGTTCGTGCTGCTAGCTTATTACTGCCGGGATATTGCATTTTTACTGTATGTATAAGCAAAAAGCCGTGATTCCCCTCAGGAACACTAGGAAAACTGAGTTTCGAATTTCAACTTGAAACTTTGTACAGGGACAGGTCTCAATGCGAATAATTTATTGTGAAAGTTTTAGATCTTTTGATTGCTTCTAATCTGAAATAAGAACATCGAAACCTGCTGGTGTGTATAAGCTATTTTACCATAGCTGTATCTTAGGATAGGAACAGCGAAAAGATCTGAAACTTTCACAATAAATTATTCGCATTGAGACCTGTCCTTGTACAAAGTTTCAAGTTGAAATTCGAAACTTAGTCTTTCTAATGTTCCTGAGAGGGACCACGGCTTTTTTTCTTGAACATACAGTAAAAATGCAATATCTCGTTAGTAATAAGGTAGCAGCACGAACTTTTTTCAGAGTATTCATAGATCATTAGGGCCTATCGATGCGCATACGCTCGACTCAAAAACGATTTGACAGTTGAGAATGTTCTCTCGTCAGTACTTTCTCTAGAGTATTCTTTCAAACATGAATAATAATCTTGACAACAAAAAAGATCACTTCTCTTAATAGAATTTTTGAGTAAAATAATCACAAATAAAACATATCTTCATTAGTTGTTGCAAATCAATACCTTTTGTGTATTTTTCAAATGCATCAAAATCATCATCATCATCATCATTATATTTGACACTACTCGGATAGATTTCCATGAAAACTACTCTCAATTTTATTGTTGTTTTTTCATTTCGTACTTGTTCACAATCTATAAATCTATTCAATTAAATGGAAACGAAAAAAAAACAACTGATTGGTCTTCACAATCAATCTATCATATAAATCTATATAGAAGTCACTGAAAGATTATATGATCATTTTTTGGTCATTTTAAACTCCTTGCCTTGCCTTTTTTATCAAACGTGATATTTTTGAAATCTGTCAGGCCCCAAACAGACCGACTAATTCAAAGCGAATTAAAATTGAATTAACGAATAAATCGTCTCAAAAAGACGATTAAGATCGAAATAGACCAATTACGTTACTTAATTCGTTTTATTTTTTTCAGTCTGCTCGAGGCCTCAGCTGAGAATAAGGTGCAAATAAACGGATCTAACATGGTCAAAACATGATAATGTGATTTCTGAGCGACCTCTATATACATATATATGATAGATTGATTGTAAAGACTAATCAATTGTTTTTCTCTTTTCATTCATTTTTATTATTATTCATTTGATTTTTTTAATCAAGTTTCTCATGAAAGAATAACATATAATATTAATAACTAGCGACTTCTTATAGATGTTTTATCCATATAGGAGAGAAAGAGGTACACAATTTGCTTCAATAACTACTTCAGGTATATTCCTGAAAGTCTATGTGTACTAGATGTAAATTCATCTGAAGCATGTTGTGCCTAAATTATTTTATATTAAATAAAATCACAAAAATGATTTCACTAACAATGATATTATGAAAATCTATTATTGAAATTAAAGTTACAATTGAAATATATATTTCGTTTCTTTAAAATAATATGAAAATGAAAAAATAGATCAAAAAATAAAAAGTAAAATAATACATGTAATAGAAGGAGATTATTAGATAATAATCAAATAGTTTATTTTAATATTTTATACAAAGAAAAAAAAGAATTGAATTAATACAAAATGAATTCTATTTGTTTTGAAGTTTATGATCTATAAGACATTTCTAGTTATTGATTATGTTTATTTGTGTTAGAAAAATCATAGTTTTTCTTGTTAAATTTTCTATATTGAAAAAATCATAAATTTATTTGAAAAGTCTTTTCATTCAATGTGATTTCTGAATAGACAGTTTAAAATAGATATACACAATTTCAACAACAATTTTTCGTATTTTCAAATAGGGCTAAAGATTATTTGAAGAGTCAAATTTTTAAATTTCAAAAATAATTCATCAGATCATTTTCTTTTTGCCTTAGAATATTTTTCTGTCAATAGTTGAATAAAAAAATTTGTTTTAATTGTGAAATTTTACATCAATAAACATCATCAAAACATAAACTTAAAAAAGGAATATTAAATCATTTGTGTTGAAATTTAATATAGAAATGTCACAAATTAATTAGTCAACTGTCAAATTAATTGTCCTACAAAAAATGAAAAAAAAAAACATGCAAAACATTTTTATACAAACAAATACATCTTTTATTTTTCTGTTTTTTATTCATTTTCATATTAGTTTGATATATAACAATAAAAAAAAATATATTTCGTCGATTGTAAGTTTAATTTGGATGATATATTTTCATAATATCATTGTCAATGAATAAGTTTTTAATTTGTTAGTTAATATAGAATAATTTTAACAATAAATTTTGTCTAAGTTATAAAATCAATAACCTTCATTTTCAATGATCGATTTCAAAAGAATAAATTTTTTATAATTACTTTTTTTTTAAATTAGGATGTATTTCCATATTACTTATATTATTGCAAATAAAAAAAAATGTTAATGATTAAAAATAATTTTATTTCTATATATCGATTTCAAAGGTTATTATCGATATATAATAAAAGTAATGAAAAATCTACAATTTCATCATCCATCAAATTAAACTCAACAGTTAAAGAATTGATTGATGCAAAACAATATAACCAAGCTTTAGATCTTTTCGATCAAAACTTTGAAATTTGTACAGATTATACTATTGACATGGCAATAAAAGCATGCACTGTATCAAATGATTATAAACGTGGTATTAATATCCAACAAAAGCTTTCATCAAGTTCATTGAATAGTTGTTATATTCAAACATCATTAATTCGATTCTATAGTAAGTCATTCATTTTATCAATTAGAATATGATCATAGAATAATGTAAATCTATGAATACTCCTATGATGAATGAGAACACATTTAGTTTTAGTAAAAATATTCTTTTTTTTATTTTTTATCTTTTTCTGCATAAAATAAGATTTGCATAATTATAGATTCCATTTATACAAATAAAAAAGAACTTCACTCTCTCAGATCAATTTGATAAACTCACTGTTTTTTCTCCTACACAAAAATAATATCCTTTCATATGTTCTTGATGATAGTATTAAGATTGAGTCGGAGTTGGAATCGGACAATTTTTTTCTGCCCGGTCCGATCCGACCAGCAACTGACCGGATGAATTTTACAGCCAAACTGACAAAAATCCGGCGAAAATAACCGATCATGAAAGTATCTGTTCGCATAAAATAGTGGCGAATGGGAATTGAATATTTATGTGTAGAAATCAGGACTAGGGTTAATCAATTCATATTTACGAAAGTTTAGTAAATCCAAATATAAATTTTGTAAGTTTAAATTTATTTAAGTCTAGTATAAATCAATATAAATTCAATTTAAATTCATTTAATTGGACTCCAAACCATTCACATTAATTTAAATGGGATTTAAATCTAATTAAATGAATTTACATTGAATTTTATTTCGTTTAAATTGGATTTATATTGATTTAAACTGAATTTAAAATTGATGTAATTTTAAATAAATTAACAGGGTATCGCTACCTCTAATCCGAACTAGAAACTAAAACTTGGGAATGAAACTCTCCTCATCATCATATTTTATAGCAAGATGCGTCAACCTTTCGAGCCCGATATTGATATAAATTATCTATTGAGATCAAATCTGTTTTTTTCATCTTAGTCTCAAAAAAGGAAAAAAAGCAGGTTTATAACAAATCTAACACAAAATTGTAAATATTTATTTTTCTTGATTCAGGTAGCTGCCTAAGTAGAACAAGAAAATAAATTATTTGATCTAGGTTTAATTGAGTGAATACACGAGAAAGAAATCGATAGAGCCATAAAAGAGCACAATCAATCGCTTATAGTCAAGTTGAAGATGAAATGTCTGTTGAGTCTTTTGCAAACACATTCTTCCGATTTGAAAATTTCATAAAAAAACCGTTTTCAGTAGAGAAAATTCTTGAATGCAAGCAACAATTTTGTAATGATGAACTGGGAAAAATTCGATCCTGTCCGGCACGGTTTAACTTCTTGTCCGGTCCGGCCGAACCGGTTTCAACTCTCGATTGAGTACATGTCATTGAAAGTATGTCAACAGTTGTTCGAAGTCTTCAACTAAATTTTTCAAAAATTGATTTTACTTCATGAGATAAACATTAAAAAAATCATAATAACAATCCTTGAATAAAATGTCTTCTAAATATTCATGAGCAATATTTAACAGAAATATCATTATATACTAAATGTTCAATAATATTCACTATATAATTATACTGATCATCTTTTTTTTTCATTCTTAGTGCAATCCCATGATATTGATAATGCAACTCGTATATTCTCTACGATTACAAACAAATCCAGTTATGTCTATACAGCTATGTTCAAAGGTTAATATGTTTTATAATTTTTTTTTATCTATTGAACATTTATTATCAATAGGTCTAATGTCTAATAAAATGTCGGAGAAAGTACTTGATTTATTAGATGAAATGACAATTAAATCTGACAATTTTATTCTCGCTGTTTCATTTAATGCATGTGCTGAAGTTGCCAATGATCGGGCAATGAAGATAGGAAGAAAACTTTTTCATGAAATGCCTTACAACTATCAAGATGATGTTGTTCTTTTAACTTCAGCCATACATATGTTAATGAAATTTGGTGATGTTCAATGTGCTGAACGTATTTTTGATTCAATCAACAGAAAAGATACTATTACTTATAATGCTATGATAAAAGGTAATATATTATACAACTTTTTAAATATTGTTTATTGTTATATTCAACTTAGGCTATGTTGGAAATGAAATGTATGAAAAAGCCTTGGATTTATTTGAACAAATGCATTTAAACTTAGATAATATAACTTATACTATTGTTTTTAATGCATGTGCTCATCTTGCTAATGATCAAGCAATAAAAATTGGAAGAAAACTTTTTCATAAAATGCCTAATAACTATCGAAATGATAATATTCTATTAAATTCAGCAATACATATGTTCATGAATTTTGGTGATGTTCAATGTGCTGAATATATTTTTAATTCAATCAAGAAGAAAGATACTATTACTTATTATGCTATGATGAAAGGTAATATATATTAGATTATTTTTCGAATATTATAAGATTTCATATAGGATATATTGAAAATGAAATGTATGAAAAAATCTTGGATTTGTTTGAACAGATGCATTTAAATTTGGATAATGTAATTTATACTCTTGTTTTTAATGCATGTGCTCAACTTGCTAATGATCGAGCGATGAAAATAGGAGAAAAACTTCTTCAGGAAATGCCTGATAATTATCGAAATGATAATGTTGTATCAAATTCAGCAATACATATGTTAATAAAGTTTGATGAGATTGAAAGTCCTAAACGTGCTGGTAAATTAATACGAAACAAAGATATTATTACTTATGGTGCTCTAATGAATACTTACAATATGAATAGTGAACCATGGAAATGTTTTAAGATTTTCGAAGAAATGAAACAACAAAATATTGTTCTTAATGGAATCATATGGAATATACTTATTGGTGCATGTTCACAAATTGGTATGATTCGACGATCTCACTATATTATTGATCAAATACCTTCAGATATCCAAAATGAAAAGCAAATACAAAACTCATTGATTCATATGTGGGTAAGTATTGATTGTTAATTTTCATTGACTAGTTCATTTTATATATAATTTCTTTTTGTTTTGTCATATAGAGTAAATGTGGTTCTATTGAAAAAGCACAAAATATATATAAATCAGTTTATAATCGTAATAAAGTGACATATACTGCAATGAGTAACTAGATTTACTTTTATTCTTTGTTTGTTTTAAGTATTGAATAATTTTTTCTTTGAAGTTAATGGATTTGGACTTAATGGAATGGGTTATGAAGCTATTGAATTATATAAACAGATGCCGAATCATCTACGTAATGAAATTACACATATTTGTGTATTAAATGCATGTTCTCATTCTGGTCTTCTTCATCAAGCTCAAAATATTTTCAATGAAATACCTTTTAAAACAGAAAAAATCTACACTACTATGGTTTGTTCTTCTATGTAATTTATTATGTTAGCTATGATTATTTTTATTTTATATGTAAGATTGATTGTCTAAGTCGTTTGTTTATATTTGATGAAGCACAAAAGTTGATAGATGAATATGAGAAAACAAACTCACCAAATTTGGTCATGTATAGTAAGTATTTTATCATAATATTATATTGATGTATTATTTATTTATCTCGTTTCTATTCTAGTATGTTTATTATCTGGTACACGTAATAATCGCAATAGTAATTTATCTAAAAAGATATATAATCGAATGAAATCATTGTTTCCTGATGCAAAACAAGGTCTTGTATCAGGTGCAATTCTTCTTGCGAACATATATTCTTCTGTTGGTGAACATCAACGAGCAAAAGACTTTCGATATAGTCAAATAAAAGAATTAAGAACAAAAGTCAAACTAGGATTATCATGGACTGATGGAAGTGGTGAAATAGTGGTAAAATATTTCTATGTAATATTAAAAAATAAAAAAATTTGTTTACTTTTTAGGGATTTACAGCTCATGATCATTCTCATCTTCAATCAGCAGAAATTTATGCTGAACTTGATCGTTTAACATCTGAACTGATTGAACATGGTTATGTATGTGATTCTTCTTGGGTGACTCGTGAATTATACGAACAAGAAACTATTGAATCAGTTTTATGTAGTCACAGCGAACGATTAGCATTAGCATTTAATTTCATCCAACGACCTATTCCAGACTTCATCCAAATTACTAAAAATCTTCGTATTTGTGGCGATTGTCGTAAGTTAAATTTTTCATCCCGATTGTTCTTAATATGTATCTTTTTTTTTTATTTCAGATGAATTCACAAAATTAGTAGCCAAAATTCGACAAGTTAACATCATTGTTCGTGATGCTAATCGTATTCATCACTTCAATAAAAACGGACAATGCTCATGCCAAGATCATTTTTGATCTTTTTTTTTGTTTTTTTTTCTGTTTTTTGTTTTTCTTTCGGTTTTTTGTTTTTTTTTTGTTATGAATATATTATTCTCCTTCTCGTAGAGGGAGTCTAGCAAGAATTAATTGTTTACTTGCTTGATCGTGTGTCCGCACTTCAGTGATTGGTCCAAGAAGAAAGTGAAAATAAAAGGAATTATTTTCCATAAAACTTGACCAAAGGGTAATCGAGGGTGGAGAGTTCAAACCTGTGATTACTTTTAATTAATTATTAATTAATTGTCAACTAACCATTAATTATTAATGTTTTCTATAAAATTTGATCAAAGGTAGTCGAGGGTGGGGAATCCAAACCTGAGGTCAGTTTTAATTAATTAATAATTATTAATTTTTTTCAAAAAAACTGGCGAAAGATAATCGAGGGTGGAGAATCCAAATTCAAGGTCGGTTTTAATTGTTAACGTATTATTACTTAATTATTAATTATTTATATTTTCGGCAAAACTTGACCGAAGGTAATCGAGGATGGAGAATCCAAATCTGGGATCTGTTTTAATTATTAATCTTTAATATTTTTTACAACACTCGAAAAGGAGAAATTGAGGGTCAGGAACCTGAATCTAAAGTCTGTTTTGATTTTTTTCTACGTACTACTATTATTAGTATTTTTTCTGGAAAACTTGATCAAAAATTTTTTTAAATAAAAAACAAGAATCTATGATAAGTTTGTATTAATAAGCTAGCAATGCTAAGGAGTAGTAAGTCATAATAATGTCATCATAGTTTAGGAAAACGTTTCACTAGAGGAAATTCAAAAACAAGAATTTCAATCTGGAACTAATTACTATTAGAGTAATATAGATAAGTAAATCATTTGGGGATAGTCCAAAAACAGCACTTCTACAAGAAAGAGCTGAGCGAGTCTACAGACGAGTGATACTTGTTTTATTTGGACGATTTAATCATAACCATAGCTGATATCATCATCAAATATTTATTTATCCTAGATCCTTTACAATGTTACTTATTGAATCAAATCTTGATAATCAAGATCTTATCTCTAAGTTAGTTCTTCTAAATCAATGATTTCTAACTTCGATCGAATGAACATGTAATTTTTAGAAGAAATCCAATATTATTGCCTCTTGTTGTAATGTTAAATAAAACGCTATTGATAATCAATGATTCATTTTCATTCTTCTATTTCTCCATATTAGACATTCTAATGGATAGAAGAGATAAATTTTGCTTCCGAAAATATCTATTGATAAGAAATAATTGATAAAAGTTTTTTCCATAATCAAATGTTTCGTAGATATGTTCATTAAATATTAATGTAAGTTGAATTAATTGATATTGAATAAAGAAAAGATAATGTTTGAATTAATGATTGAAATAATAAATATTGAGTTATAGAAAATAATTTAAGATTAGAAAAATAAATTTTTTTGCTTATTATTATTAGAAAAAATTTCTTGATAAATAAAATCAAAAGAAATTGAGTTAATTCTATTTAAATGAATATATTTAATATTTGAAGAAAGAGATTATGAATTAAATATTAATGAAAATTTTTTATATGATAAACATGGTTTATTAAAAACAGTTCAACTGTTTTTTTTTTGTATTAAAAATATGAAATAAATAATAGAAGAAATACTTTTATTTAATGATCATAATGATATTAACATTTCATTCTATTATAAACAAAAAAAACATATTTAAAAATATTTCATTTAATAATATTTTCAATTTATCGTATTATTTTATTTGAAAATAAAATAATTTTTATTTAATAAGTATAAAAACAAAAAAAAATACTTTTTTTGCTTTATTAAATTTACATATTTATTTTTTAACGTTTTATTAATCTCAAATAATTTCATATTATATCAATCATGTTAAATTAAGACTAAAATAAAGCGAGTGAAATTTGAGATAAATTTTCATATATTGTATGAAATGAAAAGTTTAGAATTTAATTATTGATATTTAAATAATATTTATACAATGATCATGTCAAGAAACTTATATAATCGATATCTTTTATAATATGATATATTCTCTTTCTTCACATATTAAAATCAATAACAAAAATTTTAAAGGAAACGAACCAGAAATAGGCTCGATTCAATTCGGTTCATAGCTTTTCAAATCAATCATAAATAGACATGTACCAGAGATATCCACGGCAGCAACATTCTTTTTTAAAAATTACCGCGGCGCGGAAGATGTTTAAAAAATACCATCATGGCAACGGTGACAAGTTCTTTTTAGAAGACGTTGCAAAACTTCATGGATTTGCACAGGATTCATATGTTCGTAAGTGTAACATTCAGAGACTGGATGAATCTTATGAATTTCATACCAACAGTTCTCATTCAATACAGTGACGACAGGGATTTTCAAAACATTTTTTGAAAAATATCGCGACAGCGGCGCATGAGTTGGATTTTAGTCGTGGCACGGAGGCCTTCTCTCTCCTAGGACGGCGGCAGATTCTCAGGCGCGATGGACATCTATGATATGTACAAGATCAAGGTTTTTTTTTTTAATCTCAGTCCTAGTAACTTTTTTATCCATTGTTTCTGGTTATAATTTCTAGTAAATCTGGTTTAGTCTTAATCTTTACAATTTTTTTTTCTAGTGGTTCTGGTTCTAGTAATCCCAGTTTTTTTTGAGTCTCAATTCCATTTTAGAAAAAAATATTCTAGAATTTATCGAATCATATCTAAATGAATTCTTCAATACTAATTTTTGTTTTTTAATTTTTTTAGTCGAAGACTAACACTTTTTTGTTTTTTGAAACATCTCTCTTGAATGATGTTCTGATTCATATCAATTTATAAAATAATTTACTTAAAACTAAAGAATATTTTAGTGTCAACTTAAGTTCGAATCTTGCCAAATTTTTTCTCAAGATTTTGATCTTCGTAATTTCTCTTTTCCATGATCTAGATTCAACAGTAGTTCAGGTAACGTTTTATTTTCTCATTTCGATCCTGTACATGTCTGGTCATAAGTCAAAAAATATTTCTGATTAGAAAATTTTTGAAAAGAAAGAGTATAATGTCGAATTCTCAATAAATCCATAATGATAATGAATTGAATAAATACTAAATTATGTCAAAAATAATTCCTAGAAGAAAGTAAATCATTATCATTATTTAATGAAAAAAAAAGAAACTAAAAAATTTCGAGACATATTTTAAGAATAAAATCAATAAAAATATTTTATTGAAAATATTATGTAAGTCAATGATCTTATTTTTTTTTTCTTTTTATTATTTAAAAGAAAGAGTAAATACTAATTGTATTATAGAATGTGGAATATAAAAATTATAATATATATTATTTTTCTATTGATATGATCTGATGAAATACATATAGATAATGGGTGTTTCAGGAATATTGGAACTCTTAGTATTTTGATGATATCTCGATCAATTCTCAATCGCTCAAATTGAATTTTTTACAAAACGATTCCTGATATAATTTTCTAGAAAACTCTATAAGATATTTTAATATATGAGGTATTTATTACGAATTCTGTGCTCAAGACTGTAAGATGGAAACAATAACGAGTTTTTATAACATTATTTTGTCAGTTTTCATCATCTTACTTGTAGAACATGCGAAATACAAAGAAACGTCATAAGCTATTTTGAAGTTCGTGAAATGTTCTTTCTAGACGACTTTCCAAAGCTCTATTCAACACTTTAACTTTCATGCGATGGTCAAGTTTTTTCTTTTGTACATACTTCGAATTTGTGGCAGGACTTAGGTATCACTTTGCTAACCTTCTGTGTCTATGTCCTATATTAATATTTTATGATTAAGTATTCGTATTGTTTTCAAGAGAAATGATTTGTTTACTAGACTTAGACAACGATCTGATATACATTTCATTCTTAATATAAAATATATGATGAGAGCATGAATTTTCGTCATTTTACATCGGTCGATAAGAAATGACATCATTTGAATGTGGCTAGCCTATTCAAATGACCTTCGCCAAAGGTGATAAGAACAACCATACTTGAGAATATTGAAGAAGAAAGATGAAAACAACTAGGTAGCTATCCTACCGACTAGAAAAGATAATTAAAGAGTTCTTTAAAAAAAAGAGTGGTTACAAAATCTGTCATTTTGGGATCTTATAGTTTTGAACCCAAAATTTGTAATGGCTATTTTATATATTAAAATGTTTTATACAGTTTTGTAGAGTATTGAATGAGAAATCATTTTGTAAAAAGTTCAGTTTGAATGATTGAGAATTGACAAAAAATACCATCAAAATACTGAGAGACCTAATATTTCTGAAACATTCGTTATGTTTATTTATATTTTTCTATTAAAATAAATCAATTCGACAAAATATTCATCGACATTTTTTTTTTGTTCTTATCTATTCTCAATACTTTGTCATCTATTCGATTTTTGACATTAAAGAAAAAAGTTGAAGAATGAATATATCATACAGCAATTGAGAGAGTTGGAATGGAATTGTCAGAAATTTAGAGCTAGGAGAAAATCAGCTGTTCAATAAGAATCCTATGTATGGAATAAAATGTTTTATATGATAATAGAAAGCATAATATGCGATCAGAGTAATTTTCATTAGCTATATACGATGAAAAATAACTCTGATAAAGAATGCTACATAATCTAGGATAATGAATTATGACCTAAGAATCGATGAGCAAATACAACAGAAGCAAACATATCTTTGTTTAGCATAAGATAATACTGCCATCTGTAGATCATAAAAGATAATCATGATTCATAATCCAATGAATACCTTTATTTGATCCATATAATTTAACAAAAAAAAATAGATATATTTATTTGTTTGTAATTGTATTTGTCTATTGATGATTGTGATGAGTAACTGACTATTAAATTATTCTAACTTTTAGACTATGTTTCGTTAAATAAATAAATAAATCAAGTATGTCATTCTTATTAATTATTATTTATATTCGAAGTTTTTGTTTTTTTTATTTATTCAGATTATGAAACAAACATTTGTCCATGATGCCAGTCAACAATTACAATCGGCCGTATTCTCATCAGGCCTTATAACAAAATTAATATGTTTATTTTGTATTATTGGATATGGTCTTTCATTTAGTTCTCAATGTGTTCAAGTACTTACAGTCATTCCAGGTCGTGTAATGCCTCCAAATTTTTGGATTTGGTTTGTTTTTATTTTCTAGAAATATTTATTTGACTTTTTTTTGTTGTTTTTTTTCATAGGACATTTATTACACATAGTTTTATTGAATTACATATATGGCATACAATAATTGATGTTATTGTTGTTTTTCTTTATTCAAAAATGATTGAACCATTATGGGGTACAAAAGAACTTTTAAAATTTTATTTTATTGTTACAATTCCAAATGCATTAGTTGTAACATTTACTTATTTTTTATTTTATGGTTTAACATTTAATGAAGATTATTTATTTGAAAGACCTATTTATGGTTTAGCATCATTTATTGGTGCTTATTCAGTTGTTATTAAACAAATTATGCCTGATACTATTTTAGCAACAACACCATTATGTAAACTTAAACAAGATCATGTACCATTATTAATTGTTATTTTATCAACAATACTTTGGATTGTATATGCTGTACCTATACATTTTTTAATTATGCTTAGTTTTGGTATTATTATTAGTTGGACATATTTAAGATTTTTTCAAGTACATCAAAATGGAACGCAAGGCGATATGTCAACATCATTTTCATTTGCAAGGTATAATAAAAATTTACTTGATTTTTCTTTGCTTTTATATTAATTTAATTTAATTATTTTTTAGTTTTTTTCCACCACCTATATCACCAATAATAAGTATATTTGCTAATACAATTTTTGCAATATTTGTTAAAATAAAATTATGTAAACCATTTGTTAAAAAATATAATGTTGCTTCATCATCAAATATTACAATAACTATTCCAGGTGTTGAAGCAGTTGATGCTGATAGAAGAAGGTTTGTTTGTTTTTTTTTTCTAAAAATTAAGTTCAAATTAGATATAAATTAAGATTAAAATAATATACTACTTTCGTATCTATAATCGAAAATTTAAAAAAAAAAAAAAACTATTTTGCAAAATCGATTAATATTCATAATAATATATATCATTTTCATTATGAACTAGTCTAATTAGAGAATTTTATTTGTACAAATTCTTAATCCTCGAAAATTGAATTCGAGGGAAATAGATATAGTAGTTTTATGTAAAAGTTACTAATATAATTGTTCTAGAATTTTCTCTTGCTTCAATAGATTCTACTTAATGATGTTAGACATATATCTTAAAAGTAGATTATCACTTGCCGATAAATGATGACAAAACGACAACTCTACGACAGTAAACAGATCGTATTTTTGCTGTAATTTCACTATGACATGGCCGTATTTCTACATTAAGTATATAGTTCCATTTAGATATCGTATTTTTTTGACCTAAGAAAGTACGAACTTTTAAATTAGATATGTCGTTTCTGAGAACAGAACTTTTTGTTTGTTTTTTTTATCCCTATGATCAATAATAGGAAAAATTTTGTTATCTATTTTTTGTAAGAAATGTAATTATAAATTAGTTGTTTTTTATTTCAGACAAAAAGCATTGAAAGCTTTAAATGATCGAATGAAATTGAAAGATTTACCATCAGAAGCATGGCCTGAATTAGAAGAAAGTCAAAGTCCATTATTACCTCCAACACATCAATTAGAACCTTCATCGATAATAATTGATATGAATAATTCAAATAAAATATTAACACCAACAAAAGAAGATTTAAATCAACACCAAATATCAGCATAAAACATGAATTATGTTCGTTTTTTCGTTCTTTAACCGCTTTGTATAATAATAAAGAAAAAAGCAAATATCTTTAAACAAGATTTCTTTCTGTTTTTTTTTGTTTTTCTAAATTCATCATAAATACGATAATTCTTTGAAATTGAAGGACAAATCTCGTAAGACTTTTAGAATCATATATCGAACAAAGATTTATCATCTCATAAAAAATAATATTTTTCTTTTTTTTTTTTTTATTTTAGATATAATATAACATATCTTAAAATAAATTATTAAGTACTCTTCAAGTTCTATTAATTGAAATGAAAAATTTTATCATATAAGACAGTATAAGTAAATATTGACTGGTAAATTTATAAGTAATCATAAAATGTTTATAATCAGACAAATCATGACCTATTATTCATACAGAATATAACAGTAACATATATTTTACTATATTAATCATCCATCTATAAGATTAATTTACTGAATATTGATGTCATCATTTTCAGTCAGTCTGCAAATAATAAACTTATCAATTTTTGACCTCCAAATTGCCATCTGTCAGAATTAGGTATATGACAGTTTCAACGTTATAAATAATAAATTGACTCTTACACTTTTCCCACAATGGACTTAAATCGTCGTTAAATTTGTACTTTTCTTTTTTTTTTTTACTCTAATAGCGAACTTGAATTTTATAATATAATGATAAGATCAAACTATGTCATAAATTTGCTTAGCAACAACATATATACTCATCTAAACTGTTAACAACGGAAAAAAAAAGGTCAAGTGATTAATATATAAGACGATGAATAATATAGTGTTATAATTGACATATTTAAAAAATTTCTTATGTTTATATTGATTTTCTTTTCTATCAATGTTAAAATTGATCAAATATATTTATTTTAAATTGTAATATAAAAATATAACATAGAATGACCATGAGTTAGATCAAATATTTGGTAATCCGATCTTACACTTGATTTAACAATGACGTATATACAAAATATATTTCATTCCAAGGATTTCTTCAGAAATATTTCCTGTGAGATAAAAAATTTCTTTTTTAGACAAAGAATAAATAAAAGAAAATCTTCTTGTTATAATCCTACTTTAAAGATTAAAATTTTATTTAATAAGTTATTAAATGATTCTTTCTATACACAAAAAAAAGAAAATTTTAATAAAATAAATTATTCTAATTATATTATCTATTAAAATCTAAGAATAAGAATAAATATATATGTAACATAGAATGAAAGAACTTTTTTCTCCTTGAAAAAAAAATCGCGCAATTCGTCAATCTAATTAACTCTTTCTATAACATAGCATCACGTCGGTTTTTTTTTCTTCTTTCCTTCTTTCTTTCTTTTTTTTGCTTTTTTTTTTTTGTTGGATTGTATATATGGCATCATATGTATACTTGACGCGAACATAAGCAGTAGTAACCCTATCATCATCATCAACACCATCCTGAAACCATTTCTGTCTAGTCGTATATATGTATATATGTATTGCATTCGGTTGGTTTTGTTTTATGCTGCTACTACTGCTTGTCGTCATCATTGTATAGTCGTGTTTAAGAACGTACGAGAAAGAGAGAGAGAGAGAAAGAATAAAGAACAGCGTCATGGAGGCATCAGCTCGAGGGTTCTGTGCATGCATGCTGGTGGGGCGAGTTTTTTTTTTTCTCTTCTTGCTTAATGCCCTTCTTTCTCTTTTCGCTGCCGCTTCATCTCTTCATATTGTGTAGCGGTGAACTGGCCAGACCCATTTCCAGCGATCGACCGTTTTCTTTTTTTTTTTTTTATTCTTCTTCTCATTGGTCGGATGAGTTATTAGTATAATCAAAGCAGAACGTTTGTATGAGTACGAGAGAAAGAGTAAGTAGTTCAGAGTTCATCAGACGCGAAGAAGAAGAAAAAAAAAACTTGTGCATGGATGTGTGTGTGTGTTTTTTTTTTGTGATGGTTCGAGAAAAAAAAATCGACAAAGAAAGAAGAGCGAGAGAAAAGAGATCAACCACGCACCATTCAGGTGGAAGAAACCGAGAGAGAGAGACAGAGATTGTACACATATACACGTCACTCTCTCGTAATTTTCCGTTCTCTTCTCATTTTCTTTTTTTTTTTCTTTTTTTCTCCCTCTTTCTCTCTCTTACACCAGTATAGTATAGAAGGGTCGAGCATGTAGGCGTTAATCATCACATTCACATTTCTCGCTTTCGTCGTCGACTGGACATTGCTACGCGGTAAGTCTACACGTTAGGTCGTTTTTTTCTTCTTCTTCTTCTTCTCCGTTCATCATATTTTCTTTTAACATGAACTTATCATATTCTTATTTTCTAGTATAGATATATTATATATATTATATATATATAGAAATTATTTTTTTATTAATTAAAAATAATGCCAAGCGCAGCAATAATTGATTCATTTGTGACTGATTATCAGCGTTCATCATTACTTATTCCATCATTTAATAATGAATTTTCATTACAATTTCAACAACAGCAACAACAACAACAACAACAACAACAACAAATCGATGCACTTGGTAAAAAAAGTCAAAATATGACTGAATGTGTACAAGTACCAAGTTCTGAACATGTTGCTGAAATTGTTGGTAGACAAGGTTGTAAAATAAAAGCATTACGTGCTAAAACAAATACATATATTAAAACACCTGTTCGTGGTGATGAACCTGTTTTTATAATAACTGGTCGTAAAGAAGATGTTCATATAGCTAAAAAAGAAATTCTATCAGCTGCTGAACATTTTTCACAAATACGAGCTGGTAAATAAAATCGAATTTTTTTTATTATATAATATATTTTATTTATTTATTTATTTTCTAGCTCGTAAACAACAAAATAGTACGAGTAGTTCATCGAATAGTAGTACAAGTAGTGGAAGTAATACAAATTTACATATAAATAATTTAATATTACCAAGTCAACAAACAACAATACAAGTTCGTGTACCATATCGTGTTGTTGGTTTAGTTGTTGGACCTAAAGGTGCAACAATAAAACGTATACAACAAACAACAAATACATATATAATAACACCAGGTCGTGATAAAGAACCTGTTTTTGAAATAGCTGGTTTACCTGAAAATGTTGAAGCTGCACGTATTGAAATTGAAAGTCATATTGCTGCACGTACAGGACAAACAACATCATCATCATCAGGTCATCAATCACCTGTTGAAGATAATGATGATATAAAATGGATGAAAACAAAATTTACTCATCATTTATCACTTCCATTTAATAATAATACAATTGATGATAATAATAAACATATTCCATTACGTACGGTATCTCAATCATCTTATTTTCCATTAGAAGATAATTCATTAATGAATCAATCATTTGATTTTGGTTCATCATTCGATTTAATTAATGAACAAACATCAACGGATAATAACAATAATAATAATAATAATATTAATAATAATAATAATAATAATAATAATAATAATAATAATACAATATTTGATTCAGTTTGGTCAAATTTTAGTCTTTTATCATTAAAAACATCATGAATATATATATACACACCCTCAGGTATGAATAATTCTTAGTGTGTGTGCGCGTGTGTGTGTGTGTGTGTTATTAATTTATTCTGTGTATTTTTTTACCTTTATTTGTTTTGTCATCGTGTACAGCTATCTTGATCAGGGACATTATATGTATTAACCCGGAAAAAAAAAATTTAAATAAAGTTTATTATTATTATTCTTCTACTTTATTATTATAAGATCTATCTCATTGTGAATGAGCATATGTTTTTTTTTCTTCTTTTTTTTTGTGTGTGACCCACTAGTTCTAAGTCATTTGTATGTGTTCCCTATTCAGGAAGTCAAACTGCTCAAACATTTTTTTTTTGTTTGTTTGTTTGTTTTTTTTTTTTTAGTTGTAGGTATCTATCTATCTATCTATAAGTGTATGTGAGCTTTGAGCCTAACTTATTATTTTTCTTTTTTCGTTTGTTTGTCAACACAAGTCTAGGCGCGTAGATTTCTTTTTTTTTCGTTTTTCTATTCGGGTGTGTGATTAGTATAAAATACCTGTTTGTTTGTGTGTGTGTGTGTGTAGAAAAAAAACAAAAATGTGAAAATCGTACACACATATATATATCATTTATTAGTTGCTATTATTATTATTATTTTTTTTTTGTATGCTCCGCATTGTCCAAGAGAAAAAAAAAATTTTACAATTTATAAGAACCTCGTCTCAGGTAAAACAAATCAAGCCTATGTATACGTGCGTGTAGGTTTTTGTTTCTTTTTTTTTGTCTTTTTTTTATATTTTTTTTTCTCTTGCTCGAATAAAAACGTGCAGGGACATATATGATGTCTGCCTATCTATTTAATGAATGTTTTTTTTTTTTTTTTTTTTTATTCTTTGATTGATGATACGAAGAGAAAAGATGTGTCATATGAATAAGTGAAGAGCAAGAAAAAAAAAAAAAAGAAAAGACCCTTGAATGTCTATGTTTTTACAATAAAGGTTAATGTCCGTTGTGTCCGTATGTTGTTTGATGTAGCCAATGTACGGTACCGTATGCGCGTCGTATATTTGCGCGAGTTCACCGAACGGTCAAAGTCAATTTGATCGTTTCTTTTTTTTTTGTTCTTCATTTCTCCAGCTGTTTCATCATTGATAATTTTCTATTGATGATTACACATGCTGATAATCGATTTTAAATTTAAACCTACGGATTTTTTTTTCTTCTTTACTAACCTAAAAATAAAGATAAAAAGTCCCGATTACATCATTATTTCGATATGATGCAATATGACATATGTTCATATACAATCAACATCTGGTATTAAAATATAAAGACAATGATTTATATTCATTCACAGCAAGAGTTTATATTCTCTTTAATCCATATTAAGATCTTTGTTGCAAAAAAAAGAAAATGTTTGTTTAATGATCATTTTTGATTATGGATATGTATCGAAATTTCACATTGAGTTTATTCTTTTGAACTTATTTACATTTAAATTTAACATTGACAAACATAATTATCTTGATCCAGTTTTCTTAAGATAAAAAAAAGAATAAAAGCGTATTGATATTTTATGATCACAATCTAATGTTTGTATTATATTCATGTTCATTTCCTGTTTATTAGAATTAATTATAGCTTCACAAAAAAAAAACCAAGCGGGGAACTATGAGTTCACATTTTTTTTTATTGTTTTGTTTATTTATAGAAATAGTTGATTAAACAAATCACATATGGAATGTAAACGAAAAAAAAAAAGGCAAAACATTTGTTTTAATGATGTATGATCATTATATTGTGTGAAATCTATACCCCCGGAAGGAAATTTAAACTATACTATTTTTAAATGATTTAATATTTTACTATAAATAAAATGGAAGTATCATCAAATTTTTTGATAAGAATTTTGTTTGAGTTTGACATTGTTGAAGATAATAGTTATATGTGTTTTTTGTTTTTTTTGTCTCTTAAGTGTTAAAAGAATAGAAATATATATAGACCATTGATACTTAATGGACATAAAGGAATAGTGATCAATGAGACATTATTTGCCTCAAGCTAATCATTTAACAATAACAAGAAAATTTCATCTCATAATTTTCCTTTTTTGTTTTCAATATAATAATACTTCAATTAATCAATGTGCTTCAAGGCATTTACATTTTGAAAAAAATAAAAATACTTTGATTTCAAATGTGTTAGTTTAAGATATTTTACGATCAATGAAATTGAATAAGGTTTTTGTTTTGCGATGTCGTGAACCGTAACTTCTTAGTACAACCCATCGCGAGGTTCGGATCCTGAAAATTTTGTGTTGATCAGTTTTTTTTTTTTTTTTTTGTAGATAAGTATGAATTCCATATGTTCATCATGTAAACAATCAATTTTAAATAATTCTCTAAAAAAATTTTGTGGTTCATGTCAACAAATATATTGTTCAAATTGTTTATATCAACGTATAGCTATACCAAAATTAAATTATCAAATGCATGAAGTTTGTACACAATGTTATCATTCAATAAGTACAGAAATAATGTTACAAAAACCACCAAAAAATTTTCTAAAACGATTAGAACAACAACAACAACAACAACCATCATTATCATCATCAAAACAAATACAAATGCCTATAAATGAACTTGATCCAGAAACAAAAGCACTTGAAGAACGTCTTGAAAAATTACGTATGGATTTTCCAGGAAAATCAATAAATAATATATCAAATAAAATTTCTACAAATCCAAATGATCTTATAAAACAAATGCATGATGAATTATCTATTCAACAACATGATGATAATTCACTTGCACAACGTTTACGTATTTTACATGAAACAATGCCAGCTGCAACACCTGATACAGTTATATTATCATCAACAAAAAAGTCTGAAGAACAATCTAATGATAATAATGATGATGATGATGATGAATTTCCATGGTGTACTGTATGTAATGCTAATGCAACAAAACGTTGTCTTGATTGTGATGAATTATTTTGTGAATCATGTGTTAAAAAAATTCATCGTCAATCTGATTATAAAAAACATCAATTAGAATCTTATAAACCATCGGCAAAAGCAAAGAAAAAATATAATTATTATTAGATTAAATTGGTAACATATGGATTTGTTAACTTTTTTTTCTTTTATTTTTTTTTTATTTCTTAAAGGCAAAAAAAAAGAAAACAGCTGGATAAGTACTTAATTATAAAAAGAAGACGAAAAACAGCTGCTTCAATGTAATTTTCTTTTTTTTTTTTTTTGTGTTTCATCTTGCTTTTAATATTTACATAAAATTAACATTTTTTATAAAGAAAATACTTGATGAAGAACATATCAAAGATTCAAAATAGTCATCAATCACCTATTTCAATATATTTATTTAGCTAAAGGCAATATATAAAAACATCTATATTATTGATGTGTTTATATGCACATATCAAATATGGTTTATCTATCGAATTTTTTTTTTAACTTTATTGTAATTAAGAAAGTTTATGCACAAGAGGCCTGTCAATCTCTTGAATGAACTTATTATCATTAGTGCATATGCATGAACACAAATGAATCTTATTCATTCCTTTTTTTTTTGTCTTATTGTTTAGTTGAGTGATGATCGACTAACAGCTGTTATGTTGAAATTGGACACGCCCTTTCCTTCCTTCTTTTTTTTTTGTGGTTCTCTTCCATCGTGCATGACATTTATCTAATTAAAAAAAAAAATCTCTATATTAACTATTCAATGAAATACAAAAAAAAAAATTCTTTTTTTTTTTTTTTTTTTTTTTCTAAATAATATTGGATGATGTGTCACGAAGTTCATAAAAACTGGATTTTATCGAATATGACAAACGCATTTGTTCAAATTAACACAAACTGAACATACTTTTACTTGTTTAACATGCATGTCATTTTATACCTATAATCGTATTTTGTGTATGTATGTTTTAAATGGAGAATAGAGAAACGTAAAGAACATTATATTTAGACTTAAGGAGGTAAAACCTTGACCTAAAAAAAGATATGAATAGATAAAAATTTGAACTTATTATAAATACTTCTCTTTCGACGACTCGAACATGTTATGATAATAATCAATGTCAATTATGTGAACAAAATATTTTTTTTTTTTTTTTTTGTACTTTAAGTAAATTTTCTTTTTAAGTTTATTATATTCGAATAAAATAATAAGATAATATAAAATTTTGAAAAGTAAACTTTTAAATCCAAACGTCAATTTCCAGAAAAAAAACGAATTTTCAGTTGTTTGCTTTGAAAAAATAAGCATTTTAAGGAAATGTAAAATTATTTTGATAAATCTCATCATGGTTGGTAAAAAAAAAAAAACTAAAGCTCATCCAACAATGATGAGAAAAAACATCAAAAACGATGTGATCGTCACATATCATAACAATTCGCCATTTGTTACGTTATTTCAATCCTTTCTCTTGAGGTAACTTGCAGTTAAGTTTCGTAGAAAATTTTCCAGCAAACTCAATATGTTCATATCGTGAAAAATAAAACTACTTATTTAGTAAAGTTTAACAAGCCACAAAAGTAGTTTATTTATATACAATTAAAAAAAAATATTCTCTTCGAATCTACCTAAAAATGCTTTGTCATTTTTTTTTCGCTGTTTATATTTTTTTGATCGTATAACTCAGAATTCTCTGTAGGTGTTCATTCTATATATTTGATACTTTTTTTTTATGATTGAAGAAGTATGTCAAGATGCAGTATATGATATAGGGCTGAAAATGTTAGCATAATCTTTCCACTACAGTCCCAACGTATCCTGAAAAGGAGAGAAATCGATAGTTGTTGAAATTGCTTTCATCAAGGAATTTGATTTCTTCTATGTCAAACTATCATATAACGTGTCTGAAAGTAAATCCTGGTAGAATTACTCAATGGTCGTTATATGCACATTAAGCCTGACCGTTGATGACAATCAGCACTTTTCAAGTATTTCAAAATAATATCAAAACATCGAAAAAAAAAACACTGACCACACAAAGAAATCCTTAGGACACCATTCTCGAGACAAGATTTTGAGTCTTCTCTTACTGATAAATCATTAGATTTTGATATGAAAAGTATACTTTGGATGAAAAGTAATATGATACTCTGGAATGAATCTATGTGTATCAAACTATTTTTTCATCGAAAAAATTCACCCTGATTCCCTCAGGATTAGGTCAAAAAAATGAATTTCATGTAAACTCTGCTTTTACTGTTTATTCATCTGCTATTTGGAGTTTTACTATCATTTTGATAACCTTAGAAGTTGACTCCTGCTGTCAAAAGACTTTTTCGACGAAATTCAGATTTTGAACAATCTCTGAGAAGGGTCACAGATGAATTTTTCGACGTAAAAAATAGTTTCATACACATAGACTTATTTATTTTAGGAATGCTGATTCAGAATGAAATCTACTGAATACGAGTAAGAAAAGGTTCAAAATCTTGTTTCGAGAACAGTGTTCTAAGAATTTCTTTGTGCGTCTTCGATGTTTTTATACTATTTTCAAGTGCTTAAAAAGTGTTATTGAACCATATGAAAACAGTTTCGTTGCTCATAAGATGAGTAGAAAAAAAATGCTGATAATCATCAACGGTCGGGCTCAATGTACATGTGACGGTCATTGATTATTTCAATTGATCTATGCACAGCATAAATAAGTGCTGTATGACTAATTCTACTAGGACTTGCTTTGAGACAGGCTATATTGATTGTTTGAAATAGAAGAAATTAAATTTCTCCAGGGAGCCAATGTTAAGAGTTATCAATTCCCTTCTTTCTTGCAATTTGAATGTACCTAGTCGAAAATTGATTTTTGAACAAGGGCGGGCGAGGAAGACTTATGCTATTGAAAAGAATCTTTCAAAGTTTTGATTGTTCGAATTGGGTATTTTGTTTTTCGAGCTTGTATAATTACAAAAAAAATGATTCATGAAATATAAGATGATGTATTTTTTGTTTTGTCTATAAAATCATATCTGATTTTCTTTTAAAAGATCCAGTACGACGAATCATTTCTTGTTGATTTCTATCAAGTTCTATTTTATTAGATGGTAAATGATAATTAGATGATGACAATATAGTTTTATGTTGAAAATTTTTTTCATCATATATTGATTTCCATGTTTTTATTCCAAGACCAAATCCATATGAAATTGAATGTAATGATAATCGAGAAAGATTATTTTCATTTGTTATATCTACAAATGAATATTGTTGATGTTTATGAAAAGAAGTATTATTTAATAATGATAAATATTCATCATATTTTTGTTCATTTAAATAAGAATTTATACGTTTTGGTTGTAATTTTATTTGATGTAAATCATTAGATAAATTCAGAGAAGAAAATTGTTGTTCATCAAGACTAGGACACCATTTTGGTGAAGATAAAATAAAAGAATTATCTTCAATAAATGAATTTCGTTTGTCTGATAGATTAATTGATATTCTTCTAGTTAATTTATTTGGTGGCATCACTATATAAAATAGAAAATTAAAAATAGTGAACCATCTGACTCTTCAAAAATTGATCAATGGGCACTTTCTCATTCGTGAAATTTAGTAAAATGATCATAACTCGAGAAGAAAGATACGAATTTCATATAAACGATGATTCTTAGTTGATGAGCAAAATAGGAAACTCAAAGAGAGGGTATATGATGAAAAGTTACTTGTAACATGTTTTTGTATAAGCACTTTGTTCTGTTCTCGTTTAGTTAAATCTTCTATTTCAGAAAAATTCATCATTATTCCAAATTGAACTATAAAAGGAATTATCATAATATGATCTATATTAGCAGATATATTTGGATATCGAAGAATCGATGCAATTTGAATAGATATCAATTTCGCTGTTGATCGACTTGGTAACCAATGAAGAGAAAGTGCATGAGTTTTATAGATTCGTTCATTTTCTTCAATTTTATATTCCTTTGTAAATTGATATTGATATTGTTGAAAGACATTAGAATCAAGATTGAATTGTAAAAGTTTACGTTCAAGATACAATTTATTATTAAGAATGTATTGTACAAGATATCGCCAACCTTGACGTGAATGTGAAAAAGAATCGGGAAAAGAAATTTTAGTTGAATTTATATCTTCGAGAAGACTGTTCTAAATGAGAAATAGAAATCTCTATATATAATGAAAATAATCATTACCTTTGAATTTTCAGCAAGAAAATGTATCGTAGACATATAATATAAATAACAAAAAAAGCGCATAGAATAATTAATCTTTTTTTCTAGTATATGAAGTGTTAATATCATGATGGAAAGATAAATTTGATAAGAATCTGTTAATCTTTTCAATAGGCTATTTTTCTAATTGTTTCCAATTAGATATATTTTTTTTTCTGTTTAATCTGTATATAGATGAAGTAAATCTGATAGTCATAATCTTAATGATGATTAATTTTGATTCATGAAGTTTTAACTATAATCAACTAAAACAAGTAACATTAGTAATTTAATATTCAAAATAGAACCTTTCGATTGTGCTGTAGTCCAACAAATATTATCAAAAAAAAAAGAGAACAAATACTAAAACATTTGAATCTTAGACGAAAGATCATTATAATTGACTATTTTTGTTATACAAACCATGATCAAACGACAATTTAGTAAGTTCAAGTGGCGTTATCAGTCTGAAGTCAGAGGATTCAGTCCTCCTACAAACGATTGAGCCACGCACTTAAAAAAGGTTTGAAACTATTACTTCTACATAGACGCGTGGCAAGAAGAGTCTCCGCTTCCTCTACCAACAAAGTTAGAAGGCTGAACTCTTCTATATCAATGAAAAGTTTCCGAAGAATCAAAGAAATAATTGTAATCATGAGATTCTGTACTTATACAAGAGCTTCGAAAATTCTTCGACCAGGTTTATGTTCAATTTTCCTAAACACAAAAAAAAATGATTCCTAGTTTTTCGAAGAAAGAGTTTCTGAAAAACCTTTTTTTCTGTTGTTTCATATGAAAACATGGTCTTTGTATCATTCGTAAAGTTGATGTATCTCGATCAAAAACTATTGTAGAAAGCTGAAAAATGTTTCATCTTCTAGAGAATCGATTGCTTTATTATTCTAGATAACACAAAACAGAATTTTAAATACAAATGGTAGGAGCTAAAAGAAACTTGAATTTTCTTAGCATTTACAGCAGCAGAAAAAAATCGAAAAATAAATCTAGTCGAATAATTTTCGAAGCCATTGTATATCAACGATGTCCATAACAACACTACCGTGCCGTCTCTAACTGTGCTAATTTAGCACAATGACAAAAAAAATTTTCGAATAATTTCTCGACAACTATCGTGGCAGCTGCAGTTTTTCAGCCGCGGTGAACATCTCTGATTAAGCAATGTTACATAGAACAGTTTCACATTAATTCTAAAGAATACTATGAAAGATACATATAACTTGAATGTTTTTGAAAATATATGTAACACAAAGAAAACCAATTTCATAAAAACAAAACTATGTCAATTATTAGTAATTTTTTTTTCAGTCGATCAACTATTTGATCTCTGAAAATGTATCATTAATTCTATTTTTAATAGAACAAAAACTGTATTGATAGTTTGATTATTCCGAAAAAAAAAAGAAAGAAAGTTTTCTATACATTTTTTATTATTATAATGTAATTTATTACGTAAGAAAAATTATACAAAATTAAACATTTGTAATTGTTATTGAATGAGATTCATTCTCTTTTTTAGATCATTAATCATCGATTTAAAGTCAACCATTTTGATAAAGATCGTCTTGGAAATAATAAAATTAAAACTAAACTAATCAAAAAACAGATCCCATAAGCTGCATAAAAATATAATGATATATATCTTCTTGGTGTTGATAGAATACTTAAATGAGCCGTTTTAGTAGCTAAATAAATAATTGAAACCAAAAACAAACAAAAGTTAAATTCATATAATTTATTTCATTCTATCTTACCACTATCAAGTAAAAGAACAATATATCCAATTCTATCAACACCCATTCGATATGAACATGTCGGTACTGATATTTCATAAATAAAACGTTTTTGATCAAGATCTATAGAAAGAATTGATTGTGATAAATATTCTCGTGCTATAATACGATTTGTCATATTAATTCGATCATATGCAAATATATAAAACTAAACATATGCATATATATATACATATGTACATATTTACTGTCAAATTAATTTACATACATGATGACTATCACCTTTGAGAATAAGATTTGGTTCTAATTCATTTATAAATGGTTTAACAAAACGAGCAGAACGTGTTAATAAAGGCCAATGATTAAGTACAATACGAAATATTGATGATAATGGACGATTTTGTGTTTGTTCCATTATTGCAGCACGTTTATCATCAATATATGATTCAAACATATCGATATCTAACTAAAATTAAATAAAAAAAGAAAACAAATGACATAACTTTAAAAAAGATCAATATAGTTTTCTATTTTTAAATAAAAATACTTTAAGATATTCAATATTATTTTGACGATATAAAGCAATAGTTCGACCAAAATAATTTCGAAAACGTTGTCTTAATATAGGTTGTTTATCACCATAATATTCTCCACCAACATCATTATCACCTGGAATAACAATACATTTTTGTTCACGATTTTCATATTGAAATATTGAATCAAACCGATCAAAATATCGTTTAAATTCATCATCTGTTGCTGATAAACCTTCATCAAATATATCACCCAAAAAAAGTATCCAATCTGGTTTTATATATTGATTTACTTGAGAAAATGTTTTAGCAAGATATCTATAGAAAAAAAAAATAATAAAATCATTATTAGATCAATCATAATAGAAATTCAAATTGAATTATTATATTAGCAAAACAAGTTTAGCTTTTAGTTAATCTATTTCTTTTTTTTTTTGATTTATTGAAATTCATCTTTTATAATCGATATTGATAAACCATGATGTTCTATTATCTTTAATTGTTATCTTGTTTTTAGAGTGTTGTTTATACTTGATATTATTATCGCATCCAGATTTGAGATCATATTTGACAATAATTGAGATCTCTACTTTGAGAATATACTATAGAAATGCATAGCGATATTGTTTTACTAAAGAGAATTTGTTTTTAATGAAAGTTCATCTTCAGATTATATGATGACGTAATTAAATATAATTAGAATGTCAATGATTCAATTGACTGATTTTATAATTAATTATATTATTTATCGACTATTTAATTAATAGCCATCTGTCGCTGTTTTTTTTTAGATCAATTACAAGCATTAAAACTAGCTTTCATCCATCACCTATGACTTACAGCTAGGATTATATGGTGAAGAATAATATTGACAGAAGGTGATGAGTAAGCTATAAAATAGAAATGCTTATACCTATCAGCATCCTTTCTTGTAATTAATCCAAATAAACCTTCATCTTTTTCACCAATTAATTGTGGATCAGCAACAAGAAGAAGTTTTTCAACAGTAGATCTATAAAAATAAATAAATAATTTTCAAAATTAAATTCATTTGTAAACATTTCAATTATATTAGATTTGACCTACGAGTTTCTACATTTGCTATACTAATCAATTAGAGATAAATAATGTTTCTGTCAACACTAAAATACGAAAGCATCGTACTTTCTTACTCATAAATATCAACGAATAGGTCATGCTAATTATATTCTTAATACGTCATATCGTTCTACTATAAAATATTTATTTTCTTTTATTATTTTTAATTATTGATGAGAATACAATTCTCAATTTTGATAAATTCTGATCGTAGATTATGATTGGCATTCGAAATATTTTAGTATTTCTATAGTTTTGTTTTTCATGAATTTATTCTTACTTTTTTGCTAATGATTCAATATTTGGCCAATGAAATCGAGACCATTCATAGAATAAAATTTCATTAATGAAAACTATTAGAGTAGCCGTAATAATAAAAAATCCATATCGTGTAAACATCCATCGTTTAAATCTTAACAAAAATTAAATAATTCAAACAAAATTTATTGATAGATTTCGATAGTTTACTTTGTAAGAAATCTTGATCGGATACATAAACTATTTAATAAATATTTTGATGATTTTTGTAATCGACGCATATCAGATTTTGATTCTTTATTTTCAGATGATGGATGACGATGAACTAACATATCATTGTTTTTTTTTCCTATTATTATTTAATTAAATTAAAATCTAGAACTTGATTATATCATTAAATTTATCCATAGAACAAAATAAAGATAGAAAATAAATTATAAATCATTTATATAGAACAGAAAAACAAAAAACAGAAAACAAAAAAATAAACACTCTTCTTTAATCACTAATATTTTTTTCATAAATCTTTTTTAAACGTTCAATTCCATCATATAAATCTTTTGAAAATGTTGTTGATGTTTCATTTATTCGTAATGATATACTATACATTTCTTTATAATCTTCATATATTGATTTTTTATTATTATTTGTTATTTTATATATTTTAACTATTTCTTTAAGAAATGTTTGTATACGTCCATTTAATATTGATAAAAGACGTTGTGCTTCTTGTGAAAATGTTTCATTATAATCATCTGGATCAGAACTTATTCGATGTTGTTCTATAATACCTACACATGCTTGACATTGAAATGATGCACGTAAACCTTGTTGAGAATATTTTAAACGTGATGGATTATCTGTTGCATCTGTTAACACATAAAAAAAACCAAATATGAATAATTACTATGATTTCTGAAATAGAAGACGAATCATGACGATTCGATTAATTCACGAAGGCGAAGAGATATTACAAAATAGTTTTCGATTGAATCTTCGATTTCAGATAGTTGACCTTCGATTACGCAAAACATAGGCCTAGAGAGAAATGATTGGCTACACTGAGTCGAGTAGCTATGTTTTTGCATAATCCAGAGCTCACAAAATCGAAATTGAGGTGCTCAGAGAGCATCTCTTGAACAATACAAGCTAGAAATCTCGAATTTACGTAGTTCAAAAGTGAGTAACTTTTTATATCAAACAAATCTTTTAAAACTTGAAATTCAATGTTAGAGTCAGGATAGTTTTCTAAAGATCAATTTGAAAATCGATCGCAAAAAAAAAACTTTTCGATGTGCATCGAATTTGACTACAAACTGATGAAAATCATTTCGCAATATCTCTTCACATTCGCGAATTATTCAAGTTGCTATGATTGGTTGTCAATTTTTTAAAATATATAATAATTACTTTGAAGTTCGAAATCTGCTAAAGCAACTTCTTCAATTAATAGACGTAAATATTCAAGTGGATTATTATGTGGTGAAAATAATTCTAAAGCTTTTTGATAATGTAATGATGCTAATGCACGTAAACGTTTTCGACGAGTTGCATTATTCTAAAAAATAGAACAATATGATTTTTTTGTTTTTTGAAAAGAAAACTATATTAACAATAGTAGGTCATACTGTAGATACTGAACTGATCAGGGTGTGAACGCAGATTGATATATGATCCAGATCTTTACTCAGAATCACACCTACATCATTAGGATGCTTCATTCAATGAATCTACTGCCAATATCTTATAATATTTCAATTCAAGACAATGTTATTAATTGGAAAAATTAATCATGAAAGTAAAGTACCGAATTTATTATTCCTAAACTAAGAAAGAAATCTTGTCAAATAATAAAATAGTTTTCAGATGACGTGTATCTATTAAAATTCGGTCATTTCAACTAATATCATAGTTCTTCGAAGATCACTTTCGAGTTTCGAATTCAAATAAAGTTTTTTATGGAACTATGTCATAAACATTGTGATTATATTAAATTTCCTATTAACCTCTGTACAGAGATTAGCAATGAAACCAATCTGAATCTTTGATGACTAATATCAATCTAAAGTCCGTATCGGTACTGATTCCATCTTTGAACCCTTCAGACTAATTCGAAAATCATTTTATCACGTTGCAAGATTTCATAAATTCGAAATGTTTTCTATAATTTGAAGAAATCTATAAAACATCTCTAATATTGATACCGTCATAGCTGAGTGGCTGTATTAACTCTATGTGGTAACTACTGGTTAGTTCGGATCACCTGTCCGATAGTATGCTGACTATATTGTGACATACAACTGCTCTTGTGGCTAATTAGTATGTCTAGGAAGTTCAAGCAATAGAGTACAGGAACTCTACATTCCGTCTAGAGCTATAGCTAGTATGAATTGTAGGGAAGATATTAATTATAAAAAAAAAAAACTTCAGACTTCGAAGTTTTTAAAATCGTTAGTTTCTCTCTTGCTAATAACTCTTTCTCAATATCATTTTATCTTTCGTTGATGATCCGAGAATAATATATAACTTTTTTTTTGATTTTTCAACCTACTTGAGTACGAAAAGTATTATGTAATAAAGAAGCTAATCGATGATGAATTGTAGCAGCTCGATATTTAGCAAGAGAATATCGATCAGATGATGGAGTATTAAGTTCAACATCAAGATATTTTAATGCACGTGTCATACAATCAATAATTTCTTTTTCAATCTAAAAAAAAAGAAAAAACAAATAAAGAATTCAAAAATTTATTTTTCTTTTTTATTTTACATCTTCTTGTGACATTGTACTTAATGGTGCATAATCTTGAAGTGATGTTGCCATTGTAAAATAACTATTTGATAATTCCCATGATAAAGTACGATAAACTTCATATAAATCTGAACGATTTTCAATTAATTTTAAACCTCGAAGATAATAATCAAATGCTTTTTGATAACTTTGTCGTTCTTGTTGAGAAAATTCTTGTCGAATACCATTTACAACAGGAACATAAAATTGTGCATAATATCTCATTAAACGTCCAAGATTTGAATGTAATAATGCAATATTTGATATATCATTAATTTTTTCAAATGCTTGAATACCAGCATCAAAACTTTCGAAACTTTTTCGAAATTGATCTTTTATTTCCTAAATAAAATATTTTAAATTAAATTCAAAAATACATGTCGAATTGTATAATGTACATAAGTTAACTTATTCACTATACAGATAAACAATAGATGCTAGTGTATAGAGATCATCTAACCGAACTAAACAAATATTCAAAAAAACTTTTCGTATACCTAACTATTAGAGATATTCATCGTGGCTAGAAACCTGTCGCGAAGCGATCCTAGAAGAAGCAGGGTTCAGCGCCACTGATGCACGCAAAATCTCTATCCTAAGTTTTGCTTAACAACTTAAATCAATTTTATCTGCTATTGTATTTTCGCGAGATCGTAGTTTTTTCTAGAGTGCCTTGCAAAAATGCATGAATTTCAATGTTCACAAATGTAACAATCTGAGATTTGATAAATTTCATGGATTAATAATAACAGTCCTGATTCAATATAGGATACGCTCGGGTAAAGATTAGAGATATGCAGAATTAAATTTTCTTAGTCTCGATGCCCGTGATTTGAGGTTTTTTTCAGGTTCCGATCTAAAGAAAACTATTCCGGATTTTACTCGTATTACATCTAAAATAATTCTGCAAAACTCGGTTGTTTCTTTTTTCTTTGATTTATTTAGTTGAAGATAAACACTTTTTTTAAGTGATCTATTTTGAAAAACAAACTTTTGCGGCTTCTTGATCTAAATTTTTCACAGCTTCTGCACATTTATTCATCCAATAAACACCCATTTCATTTCTAACATTTCCAAAACGTTTTGTTAATAAATGTAAACGTTTTTTTTCATGATCACCAAGATTTCGAACAATATTTATTGCATATTCATAAGCATGTACACTAGCAAATAGATTACGATCAATATTTGTTGTTAATTCAGAAACCCATGAAAATTCTTAATGTGAAACAAAAGAAAAAAACTTAAAAGACAAAAAAAATCATGAAAAACAATTACCCGAAGAATTTTCATCAATTCCAACTTCATCAATAACTTTTTGAATTTCAATATCAACTTCATTCATTATATGATATTGTTCACGATATTTTTCTTCTTCTTCCGTTGATGTTATATGTGCAATCATTAATCGACAATCACCAGCAATACTCATTATATATGATAATAATTTTTTACATTCTATACTACTATTATGATCCATTGATTGAAGTTTTAATTCTGCACCTTTTAAAAACAAAACAAAACAAAATGAATTATATTATTAAAAAAATTTTCTTACTATAACAATTAAGTGCTAATCGAAGATAACGTAAACAAGAACCATAATTTTTTTCTTTTTCATTTCGATCAACAAGACAAAAATAAGCAGCAGCTGCTTTATGTAAAATAATTGCTTTTAAACGTTTATCATTTGTTAAATGATTTTTATTATCAATTAAAATTTTTGATGAATGTCGTGTAGCTTGATATGGTAATGGAACAATAATTTTCGATTTTTGATTAGTATCCATTGATGATTTATCTTGTTCATTTGTATTATCAGAAGTAGCAGCAGTAGCTTGAATTCGACGATGTATTGCATTACTTCGAAGAGCCTATACAGAGAATAGAAATAAAGAATTTTTATTCATAAGTGAACCGTATGCTATATAATTAGCGATTTCGTGTTAATTTGTTTTATAGTAGTTTTGTTCATCGTTTCGGTGAAATTAGTTTTGCGACTATCGGTGATCATATTGATCCTTCGACATTTGACGAATATTTTGTTTTGATTATCTCTAGTTAAGTCTTCGGTCAGTTCTGTATATGTCGAGACATTGAAAAGCAAAATCATTAATGTCCATAAAAGTATCATATACTTTATTTCTTCTTTAATCTATTTGCTTACAAATTTTTCATTGATTAGTCATTCGAAGAATAAATAATTGATGATTTATATGAAGAAAGTATTAGCGAAATTTTCCTACATTCATTCATTGAACATAATATGTGTGAGAAAAGTAGAAAATTAATTACCGTATTTCAATCATATGAAAAGTGACTACAAGTAATTTATTATCTTCATATATCAAAATACAAGAATAAGTTTAATAATGTCAACTGCAGATCATGTCAGAAAAATTTCTCTTAACTAACTTTAGAAATTTTCAGATTTAGTCGATTTCATTTTGTTAGAATTCCAAATATTGACTCGCATGTCTTATTTTCTGTTTCGAAGCTATTGTTAAATATTCATAACTAACATTATTATATATATATTCTTACTTCAACTAAATATTTCAAAGCTTCTGTAGCACGTTTATCTAAATTTCCATGAATTGGTGCTAAACGTTCTACATCAGGATGTTTTCGAAAACGATGTTGTTGAGGTTGTGCAAGTGTTTTAATATCAACACAAGTATATAAATGTGAATCATTATCTTCTTCATATGGTAACTAAAAATGAAAATTCTTAGAAAACCTAAAAAAAAAAAGCAAAACTTAATTCTCTCGTACGTCATCATCATTATCATCATCATCATTTAATGACTCTGGATCTTGAATATCACTTCCATCTGATGTCCAACTTTGTTCACTAACATTATCATCAATATAAAGATCAGACATCATATATGCAGCAGCACAATGATATTCAGGAAATTTTTCTGGATTAAGCATATCTAAACAATGTTTAAGTAATGTACGTATTGTACCAGATTCTTTTGAACGTGTTTCATGATCAGATTTTGATACCATATTATGAGCCATTTTATAAAATAAAGTAGCAACCGGTACTGTATATGGATTATCATTACGATTTGTATCACATAAACTTGTTAAATCATATAATTTAACAATATCATCATCAGGACCTAATCCAATATAGTATTTTTTTTTTATATATATAAAACAAAAACAAGTTTTTTTTCTTCTTTACCCTTAAATAACCAATATGTATGTCCTTCTTTTGTTGCATTTGCTTTAAGAAATGAAAGAAGATTTGTAGCTAAATCACGTATAACATCCGGTGGAAATTCACAACCTTCACGATATGGTAATTCTTCAGTTTTAACTATTTCATAAGATTGAACAATACCATCAACATGATAACACATAGCTAATTCAGGAACATTACACATTAAATTATCAAGCCAACAATCAATACCAGTTAAGACATTAATAGGTTTATTCATATCCCTATTGAACAAAGAAAAAAAGAATAAGTTAAACGTTTTTTTTTCTTCGATATCTGACACATATTAATCTAAATAAGGAGGCCTTGGTGAGACTAGCAAAAGTCTAAGAGAATTCGTTCGCACGGGTTGATCATATACATTTCAAAAAAAAAACAATCTAATGAATTCATTTATCCCAACGCTTCTAAAATCCTAATTAATTTTTCTTTTTGTCCAATACCTTAAACGTAAACTAACAGCTGGATGTTGTTCATCACCAAATATAGGTAAATCAGAACCAATTAACATTTTCATATTTTCAAATGTCCAATTAACTGTTCGTTGAAATGGTGATGAAGTTAGATTTGTATGATTATGATCATCTTCAATATATTGATTTGCATTAACAAGATTTTTTATTTGTTGAAGAAATATTGCAGCAGTTGTTTCATTTGTTGTTGTTGATGATTGACATTCATCATTATTAGAAGAATTTAAACGTGTTAATTGAGGTAATTCAATACTAGAATATATATCAATAAATAAAAAAAAAACAAAACATTAATAAAATACCTTTGACATAAAAATTTAACTAAACGATCTTTTCGTATAAGTTCATCACGTGTTTTATTTTTTTTATAAATATGTTTAACAGATATATTACGTAAAATTGTATCAAGAAAAAAATCTCGAAACCATGTCCATTCATTCTAAATAAACAAGAAATTTTAAAATTAATAAGAAAAAAAAAATCATCATATCCTCCATTACTTTTTCAAGACGTAATAAATGTGAATGTACATCAAATTCATCAAGAAGTATAGTTCGACCTAAACGATGTACAATCATCGATATTTGACTATGTTTATTAAATGATACTTTAAGTAATTTTTTTATATGCTAGTAAAAAACAAAAAATAAAGTAACAATTTTAATTTTATTTATAATAAATATGCTAACCTCAGCATCAGTTATAAGATCCACTTCACCCAAACTATCTGTATTTGCATTTGCACAACGAAAACTAAAAAAAAAACAAAATTATGAAATATTCCTTTTGACCCAATCATTAGTAGACAAGAGCTCAGCTGGTGGAGTTTTGTTTAAAAAGCGATTTGAACTTCTTCTAAGGTTTATGGTTATTGTACTACATACTATATGTCTGTACTTTTCAAAAAATACGTGTTTACCTTCCCCGGAGTTTGAAGTTACTTTTCTGAAATGTCTATGTTGCAAAACTTTTTACATAAGTTCTAGTGTAACTGAGACTTAGACTTATTCAAAGATTGTGATTTTACTAGAAAGTTAGGATCCTACATTCTTATCTTTTTAGAGTTTTTATTGAAGTTCATAATGAATATCTTATGCAACAAGCATATGATAAACATCTTTGTCTAATAAACTGTTTTACAGTCTTTATTAGTATAAAAATTTTGTCATTATATACCTTCCAAAAATATCATCATGGCTACTAGCTCGTTGTTGAAGCCAATATGAAAGTAATATTGCTATATCATTATTCCATATTGGTATTTCATTCAGATCTATAAAATAAAATAATATCAAAAAAAGAAATAAAATAATTTTATTATTACCTGTATCTTTATCCAAAAAAGTACATTTAAAAAATGGAAATGTTGATGGTGAATTAACCGAAACTAGACTTGACGAAGACGATTCAGCCATGTGAACTTTAATATATCAAAAAAATAATTTATAATGAGGAAAAAAAAAATGAATCTTTGACTGTTATATAGATTGACTGAAACATATGAGCCAATAGAGTTATTTTTTTTTGTTTCTTTATTCAACATGATGTATTGGATGTCAATCGTAACCAATCAAAATTACCCTTTGGGTTCAAAATTTTCGGACGCGGAACTACTAGTCCAACGGGACCTACTAACCACATGACATGTATTTTAAATACCTTGAAATTCGAATATCTCGATACGTACACGGTATAGATCGTTTGGCAATGAGAGTATTCATTTAATGATCAATATCTTTAACTTACAATATACAACCTTTCATTGTAAGGTTTCTTTAAAGTAAAAAATTTTGTTTTACTGTTCAGATAAAAATGGTTGATTATCGTGAACGAAAAGAATTATTTTTTAGTAATTTAAATGGTACAAATCTTTATGAAGTAGGTTCTGTGATGATAAATACATGTGCAACATATTTCTTATGTCAAATATTAAAATCTTTTATATCATTATCAAATATTAAAAAATTTTCAATAAATAATTTTCTTTTTGAAAATTTTCTTATTATAATTCCATTAATATTTATTTGTACAATATTATCATCATTAAGTTATTTATTTCATTTTATTCTTTGGTCTATAGGATTTTTAATTTATTTTACAAAAACAAATTCAACAATAAAATCTATTCAAATTAATAATAATAAATCATATTCTTATATAATTGAATTATTTCGTGGTCAAATATTAATTTCAACATGTATATCTATTCTTGCAGTTGATTTTTCTATATATCCACGACGATATGCTAAAACAGAAAATTATGGTTATTCAATAATGGATTTAGGTGTTGGTCTATTTGCAATAGCACATGGTACAGTTAGTTCAGAAGTTCGAAATAAACAAACAAATTTTAAAGAATTATTTCTTGAAAATTTAATATTATTTCTATTAGGTTTAATACGTTTTATATCAATAAAATATTTTTCATATATTGAACATATTAGTGAATATGGTATACATTGGAATTTTTTTTTAACATTATGTTTTATGAAATTAATTGGACATTGTTTATTAAAAATAACAAAAAATATATTATTATTAATTATTTTAATATTAATATTTCATGAATTTATTTTATTAAAATATTTTCAATATGATAATTATTTAATATTATCAAATAATTTAAGAAAAAATTTTTTTGATGCTAATCGTGAAGGAATATTTTCATTAGGTGGATATGTTTGTTTATATTTAATTGGAATTTCCCTTGGAAAATTTATAATTAATAATGAATATAAACAAAAATTTCAACAAATAGGTATTACATGTTTTATTCTTATGATTATATTATGTACAATTAGTTATAATCCATCAAGAAAATTATGTAATTTATCTTATATTTCAAGTACAACTGGTTTAGCTTGTATGTGTTTAGGATGTTTTAGTATAATACAATGGTTATTATTAAGAAAAGGTTATTTAACTGAATCAATTTTAATTAAAAATGTTAATCAAAAAAGTTTAGATACATTTTTATTAGCTAATGTATTAACAGGAATTGTTAATTTAAATATAAATACAATTGATACATCAAAATTTATATCATTATTTATTATTATAATTTATATGTTTATTGTTACAATATATTCATATTTTTCTCCATCATTAATTAAATTAATTATGAAAAATTTAAAGTAATCGAAATATTAAACGTGATCAGTCTTCGTACGAAAAAATAAAAAATTCGAAGAACTTTTGTTTTTTTTTTTTTTTGAATAAAGTTTTAACTGTAATAAAAGATACTTGAATAATATCAATTATTGCAAGATTTTAGAATGGGATGTATAGTGCTATACGTGGAACATATTTTCGAAATCAAGTCGATGCCGATTCGATATCTAGTGATCAGAATTCGACTCGGACTTTGAAATTTTCTAAATTAATCGGAATTGAATAGTCACTCGGAAGATATGAGATACTTTTTCCGATTCTTTGCATTCTGTAAATAGCCCAAACTACACATTTCTCAGACGATTGGTACCTGCCGGGTCCGGGATCAATCCGATGGGTCTACTGGTAACACTCTCTTTCTTTGTGATTGTGATTATTATGAATAAAAATTTTATGAATTTTCTTAGTCTGGTTCCAGTATGTTATACATGCATGCGTTATCTGAAAGGTTTCGTTTGTATCGACTTGAAAAAAATTCAAATGATCTATTTGACATTGATTTTTATGCGACAGAATAAGTGTGTCATTCCATTAGTCCATTTCCAAAACATGATCCAGTGATGAAAGTTTTAGGTGAATTAATAGTAATTTCTTATACAATATATTATTGACTATATATGATTTACTTAGTTCTCAAGATGATGTTTCTTCAATTTCATATTCATAATAATTTTTTGATAAATTACTGAAATTCAATAGATTTCTTGTGTGATAGCATTCACGAATAATGTCAACTGAGTTTTGTCAATTAAAGAGAATTGACCGATTCAAGAACGAAAAATCTAAATTTTAGAAATAATATGTGCGAAACTGGCAGTGAAAAACAAGTATCCTAATAAGATATAATTTCTTTCTGCTATATAATGTAAGAGAAGCATGAATCCATGAAAATTACGAACACTCGATTAAAATGCATACGTTTTCCCAAAAAATTGAGAAACCTCAACTATACTAAATACGGCAAAATCGATAAAAAATCGAACTGTACAGACTGATGGATATAAAATTTCACATACATGTGCCATGTTTTATTTATCATATATCAAAATAAATATTGAGATAAGGTTCTAGGCACTAAAGATTGATATTGTTTCAGAAAAATTAAGTTGATCATAGTAAAAAGACAGCAGAATCGTCAAGTTGTAAGTGGCCATTTATGCAGTTGTGGTCGAATTAAGTGTGGAAAAAAAGTGTGTTTCAAGCAAACCGCGATAATGAACAAACATATAAAGTAAAACAAGTTGTTGTAAATGATTAATAAGAAAATGTATAACATCAACAAGACATTTTGTAGATTTATTGTCACCATCAACAATACGTGATAGTATCTAAATACTATTATCATCTAAATTAGTGATAGAAAAGGAAAGTTGTTTTAGATTAGGTAATCGATTGCAGAGTAATTTACAAAAATGTTGAACATAAAACATTGTCAATGTATTATCAATCGTAAAAAGTGACCTTATCTAATAAAGAAAAAGATGAGTGTCAATGTAAACAGAAGTACTCACTTGTTGGTTAATACGAATCCCGACTTGATCGGGTGTGTGAAAGGGGTAGGTGTGGGTATGTTTTAGTCTCTCATTCATCCACACCCACACTCCAAATCTCAGAATGGATAGTCACGATCAATAAAGTTGATGTTTTTTCTACAGTGAACTTTTTGCATAGAGATTTCTATTTAACCAAAAGTCAAAGTAAAAATAATCATACAGATCTCAAGAGCTCTATTCATACATAGATACAAATTTTCTTGCAACTTTTATATATATCTATAAGATTCAGAAATGTAATCGTTGTACTCTGTGTAACAAAGTTCCGAAGTTGAAAAGTACTATTTTCTCTTTTTTACACAAAAGAATAGAGAAACTATATAATTCACATTCATATTAATATTTGTTCTTGATATTTATAAGACGTTTTACTAAAATTGTTTCTTATTTATTAATGATAAAAACTGAGAAAAAAAAGTTCGATTATAGTGATTTTTTTTTCATATAATTAAAGAAAATGATCATTAAATAGACAGTGAAGAACATCAATAAAAAAGACCAAAAAACTTCACTTAAGATATTTTCTCGTGAAACAGTTTTTATGTAACCAACTCAATGGATCGTCACCTGAGTTAGTACAACATGTGTGCTACTTATCGCAGCACCAGTCTCTGGACGTCGAGTGCCACCCAACGCTTGAAGAATGACTTTATCTATGTGTTTCCAATTAAGAAGGATATGTTGTGGTCTACCAAAGAGAAGTGTTGTTGTATATGTGTTGATCGGCATTGAATTTAGATGTCCTGTAATGATTAATTGCATATCATCATTCCAAGCAGCACATGCAGTAAGAGAAACAAAAGTAAAAATTTCATTTGAGTTTTCAACGCTGATCGACGCTTTTTCCGAGAACCAGGCTATGTGTGGACTCTTGCCAGATGTAAAAGAAGTGACATATCCACTTTTCGGATACGTTTTCTTCAGGTAGAATTTGTGTGCATAATGAATTTTATTCCATTTCAATCCTCTGTATACATCTGGAATTAATGGAGATTTGTCACCAGCCATGGGTAAATCATTGAATGTGATCCTTGCTTTTGCTAGTAAAGGAACTAAATTCATACTTCTTTCATTATCTTCATTCAGAATCGAATATAGTAAATCACTTACTCAATATGCGCATTTCATGTACTTGAAGAGTGAGCTGTCGTATCTGGCGTTTATTCTCTTTAATTTGTTCTTTTAAACAAATGTTTTCTGTATGTTTCGTAGCAGCATCAACTCTTTTGTAAATGAGTTTGCAATCTTGACAAGTTAATTCAAACGATGCACAGATAGTTGTATGATTATCAAAATCTTTTTTCAATACTTCTAATCGACAGCCAGGACATTGTTGAGGCTGATAATTGCAATCGAGCTCATGTTTCTCTAGTGCCTCATACGGAATGACCTATGAAGAAAAATGCAAGTGTAGTGTTTATAATGTGATCATTGTCTGATTACCTGTTCACAACCTTGTGATCGATAATAACAAGTAAGCTGTAATTGAGCAAGTAGCTTAACAATGAATGAGGGACATTTGCGTTTGATATATGTTTTACATCGATTTGGACATTTCTCTGGATTATCAGCAAGCCACCGATCGATACATGTTGAACAGAATGATGTTTCACATGTTTGACAGGCAACTGGTATCCAGAGTAGATCATGACAAATAGGACACTCGAGAAGATCAACATTGACTGATGATGGACCACGAACACGGTCAGAACATATACCTTTTTGTATCATTGATGTCATCTAAAGAATAGTAATAGAAGGAAACAGATTCACAATCAATAAATTAATAATGCCATTGTTATAGAAATGGTCTATTTAATCGCTGTAAAATGATATTCAATGGCAAGATATTTATTAGCCTTCTTTAACTGTATGACTATGTTGATCCTAAAGGAACAATTGAGCTTTAGGATCGTAGATACTAGTAGTGACAAAAATAAAAAGAACGAAAGAAATGAATATGAATAAGAGAATGAAACAACAAAGGCAACATGAGAAGAAGAAAAAAAGAACAAGAACAGAAAGACTATCGAGAAAAAAAATGTGCAGTATCAAATGGTTTATGCACTGTTAATGAAATAATAAAAAAATTAAAAAATTTGGCGAAATACCATGTTTCGCAGAGATGAATAGTGCCCACATATATATTTTTTTTCTTTTCTTTTTTTTCCCTCCCACGCTCTGACTTCAAACATTCAATGGTAAGATATTACATGATAATACGTATTTCACTTCTTTATTATTTATGCAACTGATAACATATTAAAATAAACAAGAAAATATACTGCAATGTTGATCTAATATTCTTTCAATACGTACAAGATTTTGAATGTTCTCGTCAGAATTCCAATGTCGGAGGCATCTTTTTAAAATAAATATCTGCTACAAGTGAGCTGCTATTGCTATTTGCTGATATGATAGTAAAAAAATGATAATCCTGCAAATTTTTTATCATCTGTCTAAAAATAAGAATCTCTCAAGTTGTAGAAAACTCATCAACCATGCAATTTCCTTGTGCAACAAAAAGAGTATTTCCAAATCTTAAACTGTGGATCGATTAAAACTATCGTGTGATCAAACTACCTTTCATGCGGTCATATGAAGTGAACCAAAGTTGGCGCTATCCAAACTAGAGTCCAAAATCTAGATCGTTCAAAAATATCGGGTGAAAAGTTTAATATCGAAAGTATTTCAACTTTGATTGTTTTTTCTTCTTCATGTGAGACAATTACTTCGGATGGTATCGATGAAGCGCATATTGCATCCAATGAAGCTTTATATCAATGGTCGAAAAAACAATGGAAGAACTCTCATATTCTTACCCTCATTTTGAATTTGTATACTGCAAGTACATATAAAGAATTTCTAAGAATGAAGATTGGAACAAAATAAAATTTTTCATATCATTATTTAATTAATACTTTGAACAAATCTCTCATGAACTGATGTAAAACATCTCCTTATACTACTTTACTAAAGAAATAAGAAGCAGAAATTCGACTCATTTTTATCTCACTTACGTTAAATTAGTAGAACTTGGGTACAAAAAACACATTTATTTTCTTTTTTTCTCTATACTTTCTATTCTGAAATAAGAGGATAAAAAATGATAAAGTCTGTGCATATATTTACGGGTTACCGGAAGTTCGCCAATAAGACTTTCGCAATTTGGACTTTCGCCATTGACGAAAGTTCACTGTACTTTCGCCAATGCACCTTCCTGACATTCGCCATTTGGCGAGTGTCCATTGATCTTTCGCCAGTTTACTGTCCTCACTTTAGCCAATTGGCGAATTTCCACTGGGTTTGTGCCGGTAAATCCTTCAGATATTAGGCGATTGAAAAATGATATTGGTACTGATCGGAGGGATAAGTAACAAATACACGCTAAGAAAATTGTGGGTGTGGGACTCTTATTTCAATAAAGATCCACACTCACATCCCACACACACCCACATCCCCACCCGAATGATTCACAGTACATTTATAAAATACTAAGTGTGATTTCCATATATCATGGAGAATATAAATGTCTCACTTGAACGAATAAAAATCTATTCGACTCTCGTCAGTATACGTAATGGATATTCGTCAGTATATCTCTTGGAAATTCGCCAATTGCTGAAAGTTCAGTAGACGTTCACCAATATATCTGTTGGACAGTCGCCAATTGCTGAAAGTTCAGTAGACGTTCACCAATATATCTGTTGGACAGTCGCCAATTG